CCCCCCCCATGGTACCTTCTCCTTTTGCAGTATAGTGGAGGAAGAAGCCCATTATCTGACTAGAATGAGCAGAGGGAGTGTGGTGGGTGGATATGTCATTTTGATTCATTATAGTCCATGTATTTTTATCACATTTATTAGCTGTTTACTGTAGCATCAATAATAATGTCACCATCAGATATACTGTAGGAGGTAATGGGAAATAACCTAGTATGATGAAAGATACCATATATAACATCAGCTAGTGCATATGCTGATATGTGTGTGGGGGTTGGGGATGTGTGTAGAGGTGGGATGGGAGTCAAAGATTGTCTAGAACATATGCATTTAAACTGCTCTGTTTAGCTCAATCTTAAGGGACAGCATTAAGTATTGTAATTATTGTGGATACCTACAGAGCAGCCCAAAATTAAACTGACAGACTGAACTATGAACAGTAATGAACAGAGGGGAAAAGCACTTGGCATGGAAATTGATATAGAGGATGTGAATCGGTAGCATAAAATCTATAATATGTTTACCCTGGGGGGACATAACTTTGGTTCACTAGCTTAGCATTTGATGTGGGGCGACACCATCAATGAGTTGTTTATGAGAGGCTATTGAGTATTACAGGGCATAACGTTCCTTGTGTCCATATGGATGGTATCAGTACCATCGGTTTTCACATTTTATTTTTAAACAGAAGCAATATAAGGATATACTTTCATTATAAAGATCAACACAACATAAAGTAATGCAGAGTAAAAAGTAGAAGTCTTCCTCCAGCTTCTTTCCACCATTCCTACTTCTATTGTCCAGAGGTAATCTCTCTGTGTTTGTGTTGTGAGTGGCTGATATATGCCAAATGTTAGTCTGTGCTTCCAATGTCATGTATACATATAGAGATATATTTACTGCTGTGTACAGCACTGTTTGTGATATTGGCCAAAATATTTTCTCATCAGTGACTTTGTACTCCTCTGTGTATACCTTATTGTGAGATGTCATACAATGTATAGAGGGGTTATATATGGGAACCATTCTTATTTCTATGTTGGCATGATCAGAACATCACAGATGCTTATGAGGTCAAAGGGGAGGAGCATCTTAAGTTTTCCTATAAAAAAAGCATTCTTAAAATTTGCAATATTGATAGCAAGTAAATCAGTTTCAAATAAATTCACAAATTATTATTTCACCTTAACTGGATTTAATTTGATTCATAATATGCACATTTCTAATTGAATTAATTGCTGAGCAAAGTAAGCAGCTGGGTACTGCATCAAATTGCAGTTTATATACTTTTAAAAACCACTATATTAGCAGAGAGAGGCTCTTTTATGTTATTAATTATAGGCCTCTTTAAAAATGTGAATCCTATTTTGGGTTTATATTTTATGTTTAGTTGTGGAATGATTTGATTCATTTTTGGTGAATTCCACACTAGTAAGCACTTAATAGGGTGGTTTGATAAGTTGTTTTCTAGAATATCATACTCAAAGTGGTGATAATGAAAGCATTTTGTTTATTTCATAAATAGCTCCCTGCCAGGCTTCAGACTGACAGGACATGCAGAGTGTTCTGTGGAGAAGCTGGCTTCAAATCTAATTGTAAACAAAAAGGGAATACTGTGTAAAGGTTAAAATCATTTGAACATATTTACATTTTTGACTTCTAAAAATGTCTGGGGATCTGAAATTTTCTTATTTTCCATTTGCCTGGTGAGTGATCCCATTTACTCCCATGACTTCAGTTGGCATCTGTATATTAATCATTCTAGAGACACCATATGTAGCCCCTCCTTTCTCCTAATTTGAAGGCAACTGCCCTCTGAAGTGGGCTCTTCTGTTTCTGCAGTCTGTCCTCTTGCCCCCCTTCCTGACCGAAATGAGGTTAGACCACTCATCCATTGATGGCCCTTCTAGTTCACTTTGGGAGTTAAAAACTTGATAATTACTTGTGTTAGGAGATAGAATGCATGCACCCCACCTGCTGTGTTCAACTGGAACCTGGCATTGATGTTAAACTAATCTGGCACAGAAGTTTCTCTCAAAGAAGATTCGAAGTCCATAGATGCGAAGGATTTATTTTGCCTTTCTAGCTAAAATATATCACTGAGGTCATTCCATCTTGATATGGTCTCTCACTAGATCAGAGTGGTTGGCAAACTTTCTATAGAGGGCTGGATAATAAGTATTTTAGACTTTGGGGGCCATAAGATTTCTTGTCATAACTATTCAATTCTGTTGTCATAGTATGAAATGAGTAAGTGGAAACTGAGTGCGGCTTTGTTTCAGGAAAACTTTATAAAAACAAGTAGCAGAATGGATTTGAACTGTCCCCTGCACTAGATGATGATTGACTTACTTTCGGGCACTAATTTTATTATTTATTATATGATTTCTCAAAATCAGGAGATTATAATTCCCATTTTCCTAAGAAGTAATAATTTATTCTTGTTTCTTCTGTAAACTTCATGCCCTATGACCATCCTCCT